TTTTTTTTTTTTTTTTTTTTTTTTTTTTTTTTAGCTTTAATTTTCAAGCCTATCTATAGGGAGTAAGATCTCAGAAAAATCTGCTGCACTCTGTGAAGATGATCAAAATGGGATTATTTTGCTTCCTAAAATTTATCCCTCCATCCTGTCTCTTGAGAAAGGTTCCTAAATATGGATTCTGGGGTTTTTTTCTAACTTCAGTAAACTGTGTGGTCTTAATGAAATCTAGGGTGGACGTAGCCAGTGATAGGTTTGATGAAGATATGGTTCTGCTAAATGGGTGACTGGTTTGTCAGGAATAGAATTGGTAAGCAGAATCTCTTTGTATTGAACTCTTACACCAATATTTTGGACATCCTAATGCAGTAAAATGGTGATTGCATATCTCATTGGTGAGAAACAGTGAAATGCTTGGTGCTGTTCTTGTCTATTGACCTCTCATGTTGAATGAAGAAATATCCCAATGTCTGTTTCTATTTATTAGAATCTTATTAAAATCATATAAATCATTATTTCCTTGCCTTTTCCTTTAAAGATGTGAAATAGTACAGTCTCCCTATTTTGGTGGGGGTGGAGTTTGGGGTTTGTAACCTATAGCTAATTCTGGTTGCTTCTGCATATTAATTCAGTGGAAAGCATCAGTTCAGCAGAGAGGGTACAAAACTGTCTGACAGGAAAATACCCTATTGCCTTTAAAGTCAAAAAAATCTCTAAATAATGGTCTTTACTTTGCTGTAAACTTTATAGATAAAATAATTTTCTTCTGTAATTGTGTTGCTACTGGCACATAGTTTATTGGCCACATTGGGATCACTATTCTGTTCTAAAGAATCCATCCATTTTACTGAGTCCTTACTAAAGAGTCAGAAAAAAGTGCTATATTCTAGATGTAGCCTGGTAGTTCAGCATAGTATTCTTCTTACTGAACAGATAATTAATTTCTCTAAAACTGATTTCAGGGGTTTCTGGCAATATGCAGCCTCTCCTAGTGACCATCTTTTGCAGATTTTACATGTTACATGGTTGAACACCATGATATGAAATAATATTAGACACATATTGTATATTTTCAGTGTATTTTGAAAATGGTCTGTTTGCTGCACAGGCAACACAGTAACTAAACAAATAGTTTTGCAGCAAAGACAATAATCCTGTAGAAAAGTTGAGGGTTTATTTGAATCATCATACCTACAACTCAGATTATTGTAGTAGAGGCAAAACTATGGACTACAAGACTTTGTCTCATATTGTTTAAGGAATCTGTCTCATCTTGTTTAAGGAATCTGTTCATATTATTTATAATAATTATTTTTTTTTTCTGGTCTTGATGTCTATGAATAGCTTAGCTTTGTTCTGGATATTGTGGCTGAAATAAACTCCAGTTTCTAAACATATTTTAATAATCCATTTAGAAGCAGAACGCTGAAAAATTCTAGAGGTTCTTCTTTGATTTTATCTGTGTATTTTTTCTCTTATTAGAGAGATTTTTGGGGTAGATTAAATATTTTGGTACTTATTTTTTTGTATAATTTCTAGTATAGCAGACTGTATCCTATTCTGTCAGATCCCATAAGAAAATTCAAATGTAAAACTCTTTGCTGAGAAAAAGATAAGTTACGTGATGGAGAGAAAGTAGCAAGCACTTCTTGAGAATTCTGTTTAGCAGTTTACAATTAACTTTAGCAGACAGGGTCCATGAAATGTGCAGAATTAGAATGGACTTCACTGTAATTCATAAGAAACTTGCTATATCTCAACTCTTGATTAAATCATTTAAATGTAAACCAGTTTTATAGATATTTCATAAGAAAACAAATTCTTCTTCTCCATTTGCATAAAACACATTCCCAAATATTGCTAAGGAAAGAGAGCAGTATACATTTGTATACATAGCTGAAACAGCTTTGGGAAAGGGGGTATTTTTGTTAGTGCTCCTATTAGTGAATTTTGCTTTCTATTTTTCATGTATAAACAAGTATCAGCTGTTTCTATTCTTGGTAAGGGAGTAGACCTGAAAGAGGTAACCTGTTCTGAGTTGTGAGACAGTGGGTTTGAGTGCATCCTTAGCAAGAGTGCAGAAAACACCAAGCTGAGCGGTGCAGTTGGCATGCCTGAAGGGATGGGATGTCATCCAGAAGGACGTGGACAAGTTTGAGAAGTGTGTCTGTGGGAACTTTCTCAGGCTCAACAAGGCCAAGTACAGGGTCCTGTGTCTGGGCTGGGGCCACCCTCAGCATCAACACAGGCTGGGTAAGGAAGGGATTGAGAGCAGCCCCTGCAGAGGGTTGGGTGTGCTTGTAGATGGAAAGCTGGACATGAACCAGCCATGGGAATTTGCAGCCCAGAAATCCAGTTGTGTGCTGGGCTGCATCCAAAGCAGTATGGGCAGCAGGGCAAGGGAGGAAAATCTACCCTCTTCTTCATTCTTGTGATCCCCACCTGTAGCTCTGCATCCAGCTCTGGGGCCCTCAGCACAAAGAAAGGGGATGCAAGACCTTTCTGTGAGGAAAGGCTGAGAGTTGGAGTTGTTCAGCCTGGAGGAAAGAGGGATTTTGGGAGACCTTTTTGTGGCCTTTCAGTGCCTGAAGGGAGCAGACTTTTTAACAGAATCTGCTTCAATAGAAGAAAGGGTAATGGTCTCAATATAACAGAGAGTTGTTTAGATTACAGATAAGGAATTTTTTCTTTTACAGTGAGCATGGTGAAGCTGGAACAGGTTACCTAGAGGGGTGGTAGATACGCTGACCTTGGAAGCGTTCAAGGTCAAACCAAGCAGGGCTCTGAGAAACCTGATCTATGTGCTCATTGCAGGGATGGTTGGGCAAGATGACCTTGAAAATTCCTCCCTACCCAAATTATTGTATGATTCCATGAAAATCACATAAAATAAAATACATGTAGGACTATAATAGCAGATCTGTTTGTGCCTAGGAAACTTCAGGATACTGGAAAGAATTAATTATTCACCACGTAATAAATATTTCAGATTTTATAATTGAAGCCAGCTCTATTTTGTATTTAACATGTCCAAGCAAACTCTCTACTGTTCTGTTTTTTTTCCCTAATTCTATTCTATGAATGAAAGTTTTTAAAATTATGTGGGCTGCAGCAAATGCAGAACTTCGCCTATAGTGATTTTCTTTTCCCACAAAAAACACATTAAACTCACAGTATTTTTCTTCTATCATTTGATCTCTCAGCTATTAAAATGTGATTTAACCCTTATAAGGGTTTGGAGATAGAGGTTTTATTGCTAACTTAGATGTTTCCCAGGTTTCTATTTGCAACTTAGAAATGGTTAACTTGGTCTTATGATTAGCTTCAGATGTAGTGCAAAACATTTTAGAGGCAGGGTTTTTTTCACTCCAGCCATTTTTCATAAAATTTTATAGGGAACAGAGTGAGGAAAGCAGCTGGATAAAAAAGAGATGGAAGGTTTAGGATTGCTAGTAAGGATCCTCTCCTTCCCTGACTAACCACATGAGTAGCAACTGTGGGAACTCCTGGAACTGGAACAGAGGGATGTGTCTCTCACAGTTTCAGCAATATGATCCAAAGTTATCATTCTGTAATTGCAAATGTATCTGACATTTAGCATTATTAAGTTTCATTTTATTGCTTTTCATTTAGGTCCCTGAATCCATTTAGCAATTTGTGATTAATTTTCAGATTTACCCACAGTCAGTAATTAAAAAGAAACTTTATATCCATATAATAGACAGAAGTGCACTTTAACATTACTTAAGAGTCTTAACAAGGTAAAATATAAGAGCAAATATTTTATTTAACAACTTTCCAATGCCACTGCAGGAAAAACTTCTTGACTTAAACACATCTTGCCACATGCACCTTTATGCTTGAGGGGAACCTCTTATTCCAGTGAGATGATGAAAGCTGTGACCAGGTTTATATGTTTGCCAGGATCAGTATTTCCTTAAGTTTCTAGAAATAAAAAGTGTTTTCCTGCACTGGAGTTGGGTAAAATAGATGTCAATATAGAGAATGTATGAGAAGAAGCTGCTCTGGACCTTCCTGTAACAGTTGCAATGCCATGTTACACAACTTTTATGTAACTCCTGACTGTACTCTTTAATAAAAATTATCCTTGGTGCTTTACTTTAATTTTATAAGCTGTGCATATGTACAGTACAGAGTGTACTTTTATTCATATGCCAAAGATCTACATCCAAATAATTTACTGTAGGCATAAGACTATTTTAATAATTTAAGCCCTTAATCTTCTCGATTAGTTTCTCTTGCACACACACTCTTTGTCTCACTGACTTTTTAGTTGTCTGGGAATTGCTATGCACGCAATCTGATTTCAACATAAACATGCTATTTATTTTTAAAAATATTTTTTTAAAAATAGTGATATGTAATGTATTCCTGTAGTTACAGACTGATGAAAAGAATTATAGTAAACTTGCCATTTTTAAGAGAAAAAGTGTGATTTCTCTATTTCCCTGCATGAGGTTTTTGAAATTAGATTGGAGATAGGGAGCATTATTACTATAAAAGATTTTACGTCATTAAGATTTACCAAATTTAATCAGGCATATACAGTCTACTTTATCCAGGTTATCAGAGCTTTTGCCCATGATCTGTTATTTTTCACTAAGCAATGTTGGAGGACTGAAATGTTTCAGACCTGCGTGTCTTTGACAGCCTGAAGAAAAGGACATGTGCACTGCAGCTGCCAACAGAAACCTACCTCAGTGAGGTTTTTCCCCCTTAGCTTTCAGCCTGTGTGTCTACTTCTATTAATTCCTACATAAATTAACATTTTCTGGTAGGATAAACCTGTTATTAGGAAAATAAATTTAAAACAATTTGAAAAATACATGTTAAGGATCCTTGAACAATTAAATATGGAAGAGCATTTCAAAGGTATTTGACATTTTGTATGTTACCTGTTGATTTAATTGATCACTGTCATTGTGATATGCTGTTACAACTTGCATTATTCTTTGCCATAACTTTGTTTTCTTTTACTGCAGGTTTAAGATTTTTAAGAGCCCTTAGACTGATACAGTTTTCAGAAATCTTGCAGTTTCTGAATATACTTAAAACAAGGTAAGACTTTCTCTTACATGTGATTTAGTTGCATTGGTAAATGGCTTTGATTTGGGGCCAAGTAACATATGATTTTCTTCTCTGGAAAAATAACCCCACTTGTTATTTGTTCTTTAAACCTTTTTCTGCTGATGAATGATTTGTCAGTGACAGCATCTTTTGCTACGTGATCATTTTAATTGATGCGTTTTTATATTTGAAATACCGAGCAAGGTTATGTGTTGATAAATTAAAAGCAGAATTAATTACATAGCTTTGTACTGATTAAACATTGCTTCTTTCCATGTTCTGCTGTCTTGAAAAAACTGAAATCAAAATTCATTCAAAAGAAAACAGTTAAAAAGTATTTTGAGAAATTCTCATTGTGGCTCTTCCAGTTTTTTTGAACTGAGCTTTGTTTTTCACATAAAAAACATTAAATAAAAAAATTTAAATTTTATCATTAAAAACATCTTTATATTGTGTTCATTATCCTTAGTGTTTATTCCATATAGTAATTAAAATACTCCAATTAACCTTCTGGCTTACTGGTTCTTTGGCATATTAACAAAAGATCATTTTGAAGGAAATAAAGAGAAACCTTCCCATGCCTTGCAGTTGAAGACACATTGTTTTTCATCATTCTCTAAAATGCTCCAGGGGAAGTATTGAACCCAGCTTCTAATAACTACTGTAAAATCAATTCCATTTTGAAAACCTTTCCTCTCTGCACCAGTTGCTATTGATGTGTGAGGGCTTTATATGCAGGTAAATCCATTTCTTGCCGTGATAATTTGTAGCAATGGGAAAACAGGTACTGAAATTTGTACACATTCACAGTAAACAGCTGTTGCTTCAACCCTTAACCTTGAAACTATTCTCTGTACTGTAAAACTCTCACACTATCTGTCTTCAGTTGTGCTGCTGGAAGGAAACCAATTCTGGTCAAAGACATCAAAGACTGTAAGGTGAAGTCCCATAGCTCAGAATTCTCAGTATGGGAAAGGAGAATAAGATTTAATATGCAGAACAGCCCTGCTGTAAGAACAGTGGAGAAGCCCTATAAACTCAAAAGATTTTGGATGAAACCTAATAGCCCTTTCAGTAGTGGAGAATTTGTGAAATTCCAGATCCAAAAATGTGCATTAATCATTTTCAAGGTACTCAGAGCTGGTTTATTTAAGATTGACCTGTTGATTGAAACAGCCTTTCTCTGGTGCAGAATTTGCTCTTATATTAGATATCATCATCTCTGCGATTATTTATATGACTGACAAAATATTTATAAATCTCAAATGTTGATTAGTGAAAGCCTGTAAAGCAAAACTTTCTTATATGTGTGTTTTAGTTTAGTCAGTTAATTCATCCTTAGCAGTTCATCACTAACATAATTTATTTAACTGAAGAATTGTTACTGCCCCAAAACAGTTTTTTATGTCTCTCTCTGTTCCTGGTAATGCAATAGAAAATCATGTTTGCTCTCTTTATTGTCTTAATAACCTGAAATGAGCTGAATAATTTGGTCAGCAGTGTTCACAAAACATTTATTTTTTTTTATGGATGTGTCAAATTAAAAGAAATTAACAGAATGCAATTTAGTTTAGAAGAGTTTCTAGTTACACTTGACATAAATTTGATTGTGTGAGGGCTTGGGGTTTCTTTTAATGTCTTGCATGAGTTTAGCTTTTAGAAAGCAACAAGCTAGAAAATTAATTTATTACTGCTACTGCTACCTTCAATGAGGAAATTTTTGTATTTTCAGTGTGTTCTGAAGTACCATCAGAACTGCAGTTCATGTGCTGCACACACATTTTCTATTATATTACCAGAATGCTCTTTAATTGAGAGCTTCTGGTTCTGAATTATTTTGTTTCCTAAAAAAAATAAAACGTGCTGAGCCCTTGTGATTAATGGAGAATCTTTAAAAATTTTGTACCAGTTAGAGCAGTTAAACTACTAGTCTCAACAAATCTAGTATTATTTAAATGAAGTTTGCTTCCCTAAATTCAATCAATGATTTCAGTTATGTGCTGTGACCTTATTATTACTTTATTATTATTAGACCTTTATTATTACTTTAAAGCTTTTGGCCCACTACTGCAACATTATTTTGCTCAGGGATGGTTAAAAATCTTCTAGAATTAAGATGTTTTAGAATTTTTTACAGTCCACTTCTAAGGTTTTATTGAAATTTTTGACATATTAGGATTTCTGTGAACATAAAGACCAACAGTCAATGACAGAACTTGAATTGTTGAATTGGGATAGAAAATTCAGTATATACTAGCTCTGAAATTATAGTAGGGGGGAAAAAATACTTTTGATTATTTAAAAATCCAGCAAAAGAAAAGAGTTCTCTGAGGTGTTATGTATTTATGTGAAAAAGGTATGGAACTAATTTGACCTAAGCATTTTAGTGCATTTGGCATTAATAACACATAACAATTGAGAAGATGAGAAACTGATAGGGTATACTGGGCACTGCTATGTTTTTAATATTCAGTGCAATTGCACGGAAATTTTCTCTTCCTTTTCTTTTTTCTCCAGTAAAGAAAAACTGTAACCTAAAATTACTCCTGGAATTATTGACTGAGATATGAAGATTAAAGGAATATATATTATTTACACAGTGAGCAGAAGGGCCATTCCAAAAAATGGAATCCAGTGGAAGAAGCTGCACAATGCAAAAACAGAGGCAGTAAGGAGACTAGCAAAGTGTTAGGTGATTATTAGAATATCTGAAAAAGAAAGCTCTATATATTTGAAAAGATCCTGTAAGACAAAGCAAAATTTTAGTGGCACTTTAAGTCTGTACTCTGCCAAGGACTTGTTTGTTTCCCTAATTTGAAGTTAAATGTATATTACTCAAGATTTTTTGTTCCCATGTTTTATGAAATTGAATTCTACAGTTTTCAATTGAAAAATTTCTCTCCATTGTTTTCTAATATATTTTAAAAAATCTGCAGGAGCTTAGGCAGGGCTCACAGTAAGGGATTTTGCACAGATGTTGGAAAGAGCTTAAAGAGGGGGAAAATGTTTATGACTAATCCTTCATCTATATTTAGACTCTGGCAGAAATACAGGGAGTATTTTATAGAGGACAGACAATCACAGTGTTTAATAAATCTTCAAAAATAAAATGTACCAAATAAGTAATGTAAATAGTTACTTTTAATGGGTATTACAGTGACATGAAGAGACCAACAGACACATAATTTTTTATCAGGGACATCTCATGTTCTGAGCTCAGGTGTGAAGGATGATATTCAGCCTTTCATAATGGAGCTTTGCATCTGCATCACTCCTATGATTTTGTTTAATCTAGGAAAGCATTGGTTAAGGTCCTGTGCTATAAATTAATGTTACCACTAAGAAAATAGGGACTTCGATCAACCATAGTTTAAGAAAGAGAGAAATAGGGAATATATATTGATGTTGGTGGACACTAATGACAAAACTGCTGATATGCTATTTTATTTTTGAGTACAGTATTCATTTCATTGTCTGTCATACTACCCAGTCATAGTCTATTTCTTATACTCCCATATGTCTACTAACTGTAACTTTTAAAAATATCTTTTAAAGAGCTGTAATGCTTAATTTTAAGGTAATTTTGTTCAGAAAAGAATGCATTTTTATTGTCCTTAAAGTGGTTATAAACAGAACCGAAAATTACTACTGCTAGCACTGAGAGTAAATTTTTCTCAATTTTTAAATTTTTCAATGTATTGCTTTAAGGATAATTCTGGTGTCTTTTCTGAGGTGTTATACCTTCTTACAAATATTTTCAAATGCAAGAATGGGTAAGATTGTTTAAACACAGTCATACATGGACAGCAGTTCTTTGTGTTTCTATCAAATATCCTTAGGACAGTGACTTTTGTGACAAGAGTCACAAAAAATCCAGAAGATTTTAAGTATGGTATTTTTCTGCTGAACTGAGTGAGGTCCTCTCCATGAGTGAGGTATTCTCCATGTTCTGGTTAGAACATGGAGAATACTATTCAGTGTGACTAAAAAGCATTTGTAGATCTTTTGGTAGGTTTAAATTATACTTATTTCTTTTTATAGAGAAAAATGTGAGTGTGAAGTATGAAATACTCTAGTTTCATGTGAATTTTCTGTAAAGAGTTCCACAGGAGTTCATGCAAGCAGAATAATATGGAAAATACTTCGGACTTTACACAGGCACTGTAAAACACCTTAGTTCTTTAATTTGGGAATCCTAATGTTCTCATGTATTTTTTATGTATTTATATGTGAATAATTTTGAGTGTATAGCAGTGAAAAATGAAGAGGTGTGTGTACTGAGGGGCAACCAAATTATCTGTGAAAAAGCATTAGTTATTTCTATTAGTTTGTTTTTGACTACTCATGTAGCTAAGCTTTCGTTTGTCTTTCTGCTCTCACACACTGGGACTTTCTTTTCAAGGTATCTAAATTATGAAAATGTGACCTCATTCTTTTGGGAAATAATCATCAGGTTTTTGAGTCTAAAGTTTTCAGTTGTATACAGGTACCTATAAAAAAATATGTGACAAATTCTAGTCTAATCTCCTTTTTGCTTTGTTTATTTCCAGTAATTCCATCAAGCTAGTGAATCTGTGCTCTATATTTATCAGCACGTGGCTGACGGCAGCTGGGTTCATACATTTGGTGAGTGCCTTTGGGAACACTTCATTGACTTTTGCTGCCGGCCCGGGCGCTCCGAGCTGCTTTGGTGCCGGCACCGCGCTGCTCTCGGCAGTGCCGGTCCTCGACAGCGGAGTGCAAGAAGGAGGCGCTCATCCCAGCCCCGCAGCCGGGCTGGTTGTGCTCTCGGGAGGCGGAGATTGGAGCTGTGTTTTTAGGCTCCACTGCACGTATGGATGCCGGGCTCCCCGGCGCGCCGGGCGGCAGGCGGCGGTGCGCGCCCGGGGCTCCGAGCGAGCCGCAGCTCCGCTCAGCCAGCCAGGCGGGTCACAGAAAAACTGCACCCAGCTAGGCGGGACTGCATTCAAACTCCTGCTTCTCCTGCTCTGTCAGTCATTTCATGTTCGCCCTGGTAGAGATGCGCAGAGATTTTCAATTTTTAGTTTATGATCTATTTCTCATTCATGTAGAATGGGCAAATATAGCATTTCAATCTGGAAACAATACCCTTTTTTCGATTTTTGAATAAACAGAGCACAACACCCCTTAAATACTATATCAAGACCAAGGGAATGCTATTTTCTAGGATTTGGGGCTTTTTCCCCTTTGTTTTTCAACAAAAGCTTTTCCATTCTACTGTAGGAATACTCAAACTTTAACTTCTTACTATGGAACAAAGTTTATTTGGCAAACTGCTTTCCCACTGACAAATTTATAATTTTGTCTCAACAGTGGCTGGCTTTTTGAAAAAATAGTATCATTCCACTAAAGGTGGAATTCTTTCAGTAATTACATAATCATTTAAAACAAAAACATTGAGAAGTACAATTGCATTAAAAGTAAGATTTACTCTGAAAATATTCTGAACACATTTTTATTAAATGAACTTATGAAACTACATTATTAAGTTACATTATTTAGTGGTGCCTGGAAAAGATACTTCCCATAAATTATCTGAGTAGCAAGGCTGTATATATTGGCAAAAGAACTGCAGTGCTCTATTTGACACAGGAACGGGTTCTGTATTTGATGAAAATAAATCACAGGAAAGGATTCAGAGTTCATATCATTTGCCAAATCATATATTTATATACACACACAGGCACATGCATATATGGGTAGAGTTAATTTGGGGTTAATTAGAGTCAGTTATAATTAATATAATTCATTATATGTTTTCTTGTACATTGTAGGTGGAGAACTCAGGGGATCCATGGGAAAATTTCCAAAATAATCAACCGCTAACATATTGGGAATGTGTTTATTTGCTGATGGTTACAATGTCCACTGTTGGCTATGGAGATGTTTATGCAAAAACAACCCTTGGTCGCCTTTTCATGGTCTTCTTCATCCTTGGGGGATTGGTAAAAGTTCTTCTTTATACTCTTCTTAATACTCCAGTTACCTGAAAACTTGATCCTCTATATCTCAATGTTGTAATTAAGGGAATAATAATATTTGGATTATTAAACTTAAATTAATTATAAAACATTAAAGTATGTTTAATATGCATTTTTTCCTGTAGATAAATATTTTGGCAGAGCTTGTCATATTAGTGTAGAATTAGTCCAGAATTAGAATTTTTCTAATCCGTTTAAATGAGTAATGCATGTGATTATATGAAGTGCCTTAATATTTCAACACACAATGTTATTTGTAGTCCTCTACTTAGTTACTGACTGTAGAGCGTTTTTGGGGGTTGCTATTGATATTTAAAGGCACTTTGCGGTTTCAGAAGTCCTACCCACCCTTCTGTGTTCCTTCCCAGAATTCCAACAAACACTGTGGCTTTGGACTGCCTTAAAGAGCAGCTTGCCTGATCCAGATGATGGCAAACCATATTCTCCTTAATTTCAAACATCCTTTCATGTCATGTAGTGCAGTTTTAGCTCACAGTTTATCACATGACCATAACCAGTATCCTTTTATATCAGCAATTTCTCTTTGTCCTGTATGTAAGTAGCACCCAAGTTACTATTTGTCTTGCCAACTTTTCCATTATTTGTCAGTGCTAGTAATATTATTTCACTTGTTGCAATGGTCTCTAAAGTAGCCAGGGTTATTTTAGTATTTACCCTGTGCAAGGTAAATGCTATGCGGATGACGAGTAAGGTATATTGTGCCCATACATGCGTATGTGCACTGTTACCTTACCCTCACCTGTTGGTTTCACATGTACATACATCTCACAGAGGTGATATGTATATAACCAGTGTTGTGAATGCCATATATTAGCCACACACAGATATGTATGAGCATTACATATATGCATTCTCATCTCTGTTTATTGGCATGTGAAGACAGATCATGTCAAATGGCAGTAGCTCTTCAAAGTATCCAGCCACAAGGAAGCTGTTTGTTGGACAAAACATGGCAGAATAATTTTTATTTTCTCCTCAAAACCTTTTTTCTATCACATGTTATTCCAATCCTTATAAATCCAAGAACTTTTGGAAAAGTTTTTTTTTGGGGGTGGTGGGGGGGCGGTGATTTTTTTGTTTCTTGATGGGGAAATTACCCCTGATTTAATCTTGTTTTTGTCTTCTTTTAAATTCTTACAATGGTGGGGAGAAGTCTGTGTTTGAAAGCAGAAATGTAACAGTATCAATAATACTTGGCTTTGTTTTTTTTGCAGTGGGGCTGGGATAGGTTTTTCCCCCCCCTCCCCTCTTCAGGAAGAAGTAGACAACTGTTTTTTGTGATTAGATACCAGTTTGAAGTAATTTTGTTCTTGTTTTGTTTTACATGTCTATTTTTCCTCTTTTGGCCATTTTCTTTATTTTTAAGGTATGTACCCTCTGTAAGACCAGCTTTTACATTGAGCCCTCTTGTTTTATAAGATTTTTTTTTCATTTTTTTCTATTTTATTTTTAAACAACTGCATAGATCTAATTCTTTTGCATTTTCAGATCTTAAAAATATATATCTTCTGAAAATATTCATCATCCCCCTTTCTTTGGCCTCTCTTTTTAGTCTTTTCTTCTGTCTCCTATCTTCTTCTTAGGCCATGTTTGCCAGCTACGTCCCTGAAATCATAGAGTTAATAGGAAACCGCAAGAAATATGGTGGTTCCTATAGTGCGGTTAGTGGAAGAAAGTAAGTATCCCAAGAGGCTCTGCTGCCTCTGCTGCAGTAGAACACTCTCTGCATGCCATTTTCTTTTTTTTTTTTTGTGTTTCTGTTTCATGCATGTAGGCAATGTTTGCTCGCTACGTGCCAGAAATTGCTGCTCTCATCCTTAATCGGAAGAAATACGGCGGAACTTTTAACTCAACCCGAGGCAGAAAGTAAGTCCAAAAAGACCAGGTGTGGTTGTGGGACTCTAAAGAGCCCCTGAAGGTGGTAACAGCTGACTCACAGCTTACAAGGCTGTGTTCTTTGGCATCAGATGTTACCACTGGAGAGTTGTCACACTATAATTAGAGACCTGGGCTGTGCTATGGTACAAGTCACAACATTTTGTCCCTACTTCAAGAGAACCTGGATACCACTCAGACTACTCTGATATATCTTGTAAAAAGCTGCTATTACATATGCAATTAACTTCTGCAGCAAGGGTGAATTGTCACTTCACCATTTTGAGCATCAGAATATCGTGTGCTTTGTCTCTTAACTAAGTGGCAGTGATAATTTGCATGATTTTCAGGCAACTCACTTTTTCAGAAAACTTTGTTTTACTGGATGCAAAATAGGAGATACATATTTACCAGTTTGTTCGGTTGGACTGACTATGTAAAAAGTCTAATAGCCCTTTTTCTCAGCGTTCAACCAGCAGATTTGGATCTCATGCCACTTTTTCTGACTTTCCATGGATATTGCAAACTCTCATGAGTTTAGAATCTGTGACCAGGGATCTTAAAGTAATTCTCTTCCCTGTATCACATTAAGCGTATCTGAAGAAGAGCAGGCAGTAACATTAATATCAAAACAGTGTGATAAAAAAACAAACACACAATTTTTACCCAGTGGCAAAGGTTAAATTTTATTGGACCACATTACCTCATTACATTTCTATTGAAAGCCTGCTTGTTTTCTTGACCAAGTTAAAGCTAGCTTTTTCTGGCATTCCCAGCTCCTGGATGTGCTGGGATAAAGCCTTTACTGTACTAGATGTCCTTGGTGATACAGAGATACAGCACAATACCACCTTTAGTGTTGCCATCCTTCATTTCATTGCATACCATTGTGACATCCACTGGTAGAGTCTATTTGCCCTGAAAGTCTAGTCAGATAGAAAGTCCTTTACATATGATATAAATAAAGTACTCCAAGAAATATATCTAATGAATTGTCCCCCTCTTCTTACTTTAACAAGATAATTTTTTACTTTGTTCCTTTCAAATCCTTACCCATGCAATATTAATTGGATTATGCTTTTATCAAGTTATTTCTCCTCTCTATGTAGCAGAAAGACTGTAAATGTCCCACAGAGCTAATTCTAGAGTACTATTTTGTATCTCTGTGTAGATAAATCAAAGTTTTAAAATTAGATATAACTTTTATACTAATTTTTGTTCAAGAATACTCAAGTAATGAGATAGTAAACTTCAATATATACATTTATTGAGATGCAGTCAAATGTCTAAGGTAAACTGCAAACACTGATGTTGGAAACTTTCATCACTTACCTAAACAAACTAAATGCCTAGATTTATTTCTGGGAATTTATTGCTAATTTCCCAAAATATTTATTTGTGACAGAGGTCAGGACAGTTTCATATTTATATTCATACTTGTTTTCTCAAAGAGAAGTTTTTCAAACTCACAACATATCCCACTGTTTTCAAAGCTCTAAAGGAGTTATAGCAGAGGGAAATATGGTTAAAACCTGTTTTGCACACAGAGTTTGTCCCTCCCCTTCTACATTGTCACTAGTACCCAGCATTGCTCAGATGTCTCGAAATTTGGACCTGATCTTCAGTCAGAACTCCACATCCTGAAAAGCTCAACTTCAGATTACAGGCTTCTGCTAGCTTTGGGGCGTGCTTAATTTTATTTTTTTCACTTTTTTTTTGTCTTTCTTTATATGCAGTCTCTGCTTTTTTCTCACTCTGTTGTCAGTGCTTTCTCTGCTGATCTCTACTGCTCATATAATTTGTTGCTTGAAACTCATCTCTGTCATCAGCATACAAACTGTTCAATTTACTTTATGCATTGTTTTCTGCTCATGTGGGTCTTTCATCAGAGAATCTAAACTTGGGAACTGCACAGTAAAAAGCCATTAGGACTCCTTGTTTGATGTTGCTTTTGCAGTCAGTAGAACAAGATTGATGAAATGTTATGTTTGGCCAAAATTGAAGTTTTCATTTGGAATTCAGTGTTGAGAGAATAGATTGTCAGAACCAATAAGTTTTCCTTTGCTTGGGATATGGGCATGTGGTAGTAATTAGCAGTATAAGGTCTTTAGTTGAGCAACCAAGCATAGATTCTGGCAGCAAAAATAATGAGAAACTACAGTTGTTCTAATGTCAGAAAGTTTCCAGATTAAATACATTTCTAATATGAAAACAGCTGAATTTTGGTGAAAGATATAGTTTCAGCCCTTGAAACAGTAAATATGTGTACTTTTTAACTCTGTACAAAATAGATAAATACATGGAATCTGTTTTGTTTAATCTATATATATGTTTATACATTGTCAAGGTTTAACCCCAGCCAGCAACTATGCCAGGAAACAGCACAACATGTTGCCTTCTAAACTCAGTGTGTGTAATAACATGATTATTAAACATTTAGGTCCAAAATTAAAACCAGTGTATGATTATGTATGTTGTTTTGAGTTTTGCACTAAGTGACTTTAATACTATGGAGAGCCTTGCTACAGAATTGTAACTATAAAGGAGCTAGAATATGTGCATAAAAATTATTGATACAAACTTCACTAACTAAAGAAGAGAAATAACAAACACATCAAATTTGAGCTCACATTTAATTTTTCTTTTCAGCTAATATAGTCCCCAAAGGATCATAAACTATACAGGATTCATTTTGCATAATAAAGAAATTTATTTTTGCCTTAGATGAGACCCATACATACAAACTTTGGAAATAAAAGTACTTTGTAGACAGTTATCACTGGTTAAACTTACTAGATAATAGGTTCATTTAGTTGTGAAAGTCCACAGAGAATTTTTTAGATTTTAAATTGAGTTATAATTCCTGCTTTGTAATATTATTGTAAGGAGACTTCTAAGGAACAGGAATTTCTTTATAGTCTTTGACTGAAGTTTCATCTTCAACTGTTAAATAAATAGCAGTACTTACTGTTGCATTTATACCAAAATATCTATACCAATATATCTATACAAAATATAACTGAGGCCAGATGTACGCATGTAATGATGAGTATTGAATTTGGCACAGTTATAATCTGGAACAAAAAAAACCAAAACAGTCAAGCAAACAAAAATGCTTCCTTACACCCTGTCTACATTTAGCTCTTTTCTTTTTAAAGCTTTTAATTTGACTTTGCTTAGGCTTTTTCTCTGAATTATTTGTAAAATTCATGAGTTAATAGTCAAGGGATCACTTTAATGTGAAGAACCATAAAAGGATGAAAAGGCATCTGCCCCTCTGTCACTATAGCTGGCTTTAGAACAGAGCATTAGACCTGCAGGTTTGTTCATGCATTCATACCCCTGGAAGGCCAGAAGGGGCATTGATCACTTTGGATGAATTTCTAAAGTGCTGTAATTGCCTACTTTTCTGTAATGTTCAAGCTTTAATTCTTTTGAAATAAGAATCTTTTTTTTTTTTATTTTTTCAAGAAAGTCTTGGGTTTGGATAAGTAGATTTATGATATAGCACTATTTTTGTGATATTTTGGAACTTACACATTTGGATCCAGCCAAAATAGTACTTACAAGATCATTTGTGTTATTTTAAGGAAAAAAAAAACCCACCAAGGTTTTTTTTGCTTATTTGTTTATAATATTTATACTGAAGTGTGGTATGTGATGTGGTTAAAGATCCAGATCCGTTTTACCTCTTTCTACCAATCCATAATTAAAATTTTATTCTGTATTTGCTAATTTACTTTTGAATCACAATTGTTCTTGTTCTATTTCTGTATTTGAGTGTGCATACAATCAGACTGGATTTTAATTCTGTGAAATATTTTCCAATTGAAGATTTTAACTTATTGTATAAATCAGTGTGCACAAAGCTCTAGAAAGCATATGGAAAGAACATTTGTTAGCTGATGAACTCAGCCTAGATCACTTATTGTTTTTTTTCAGTCTTTACATTGAATTAATGACTTCTAATTTCATGGACTAAATTATTTTTTATACAAAACTGCTATCAAATCCGATGCAAATTCTTTATGAGGGCAGAAAGTAGGAGCCAGCTTTGCATAAATAGGTATGGCAAGGAGAGCAATGACCTGTCTGAGCAGGGAGGTTGGGCCAGAGGAGCCACAGTGGTCCCTTCCAACCTGGCCCTTCTGTGGTTCTGGCTAGGTTTATATAAAGTGCTTGCTTTGTCACCATAGTACAGGTTTATGCTAGACTTCATTGCAGATTCAAAAGATGTAAAAATAAATTATCCAGAGGCATTATTGTAGTTATTATGTAAGATTAAAAATGCATTTTAATGAAATCGCAGTCCTACACTGTAAAGGTATTGGAACCTCCTGTTTCTCTGCTCTCATGATCTGCTCTGCTTCCCAGACATTTCTACACATTTCTTAAATTTACAAGCCATAAATTACCAAATCATCACCATATCAATAGGAATAATCATCTGTTAGAAATTCCTTCCAGAAGGAAACATGGGATTCAATAACTAAACTTCACAGAGGAAAATAAAAACTGTAGACAGATAGATATGGTAAACAGAAAGACAAACAGATAAATTTAAGTTGACAGGCCATATTGGACTCATTAGACATTTGAATTTCATTACAAATTAGAAAAAAGAAATGTTAAAGCTTAACCAAAGAAAAGGTCCATTTATTGCAGTAATGAAGGCATATCTCCAAAGAAAGTGACATTAAATTCTTATATTAAATAATTTGATGCAATATGTAAGATATTATTTTTTCAGTGGGATGAGAATGTAATAAGAGAATGTGACATGGATTACATTATGATCCC